AATGTCTTCACCAGAAACAGGAGGCTTGTGTGGATCTGACAGCAAACAAAATCTCAGTAACTGGAGAGTCCTGTGAAAAGAAAAATGTCTAAATGTTTACTGAGTAGAAAGCAGACTTAGGTTTTATAAAGCTCATACATGAAAACCTGTTGTACACTCAACTCTAACTGAAATGACGGCAGAGCCACACAGACCCCTGCAGAGGTGTCCAGCGCACGCACCAGTGCTGCTCTAGGGATTGCTTTTTGTCTGTTTACTTGGGAGAAGGGGTAATAAACCTTCCCCAAGCGCAGACCCTCAGGCCTTGCCTCATCTGGGGGACTGCGTCATGCATCTGTGGCAGTCACTTCCAGAGCACATCTCCTGGCGGGGGTCCTCAAAGACAGCCTCAGAATCAACTCCCGCAGAGTGATCTGCAGCACCTGCAGACATATTGATTACTATTTTTGGGAAATTGGGACACGAAATGTGTATGTACGGACCCCCAAGCACTCTTGTCATGTCCAACAACGTTTGTTTCAATATCCTTATATATGAGCCCTTCTTCAAGCAGAATGTTACGTTTCAGAGAAAATCTAGAATGGTATGGTGTAGTGACTCAGGCCTGTAATCCCAGCACTTTGGGAGGCCGAGGTGGGCAGATCACTGAGGTCAGGAGTTCGAGACCAGCCTGGCCAACATGGTGAAACCCCGTCTCTACTAAAAACACAAAAATTAGCTGGGTATGGTGGTGTGCGCCTGTAGTACCAGCTACGCAGGAGGCTGAGGTAGAAGAATCGCTTGAGCCCGGAGGAGCAAGGTTGCAGTGAGCCAAGATCGTATCACTGCACTCCAGCTTGGGAGACAGAGCAAGACCCTGTCTCAAAAAAAATTATATATTAAAAAAAAAGAATGGAGATTCAGACAGGTTCACGATTAAAACCAGTGTGCACAATTATTTCAAAGACTGTCAGGATACTGCAGCAGGCTGAGTTTCCGAAATACCAAAAGAGGAGGGAAAAAATAAACAACCAGGCTGGAGAACATTCCTTTTTTTTTTTTTTTTTTTTTTTTGAGACGGAGTCTCACTCTGTCGCCCCATGCTGGAGTGCAGTGGTGTGATCTCTGCTCACTGCAACTTCTGCCTCCTGGGTTTTTAAGCGATTCTCCTGCCTCAGCCTCCTGAGTAGCTTAGATTACAGGTGCACGCCCCCACCACCAGCTAATTTTTGTGTCTTTAGTAGACAGAGACAGGGTCTCACCATGTCAGCCAGGCTGGTCTTGGACTCCTCAGCTCAAGTAGTCCACCCCCCTCGACCTCCCAAGTGCTGGGATTACAGAAGTGAGCCACCGTATCATACCAACATTAATTTTTTTAAATAAAAAACAAAATTTAGCTGGCATGGTGGCTCACACCTGTAACCCCAGCTAGTTGGGAAACAGAATCGCTTGAGCCCAGGAGTTCTAGAGATTTCTAGGAGAATCGCTTGAGTCCAGGAGTTCTAGACCAGCCTGAGTAACATAGTGAGACCTCCATCTCTACAAAAATTTTTTTAAAAATTAGCTGAGCATGGTGACGCCTATAGTCACAGCTACCAGAGAGGCTGAGGCAGGGGGACTGCTTGAGCCCCGGAGGCAGAGGTTGCAATGAGCCGAGATCGCACTACTGCACTCCAGGCTGGGTGACAGAGCAAGACCCTATTAAAAAAAAAAAACAAAAAACTGCTTTTGTTTCTTTTCTTTCCTTTTTTTTTAGATGGAATCTCATTCTGTCACCCAGGCTGGAATGCGGTGGTGCGATCTCAGCTCATTGCAACCTCCGCCTTCTGGGTTCAAGCCATTCTCCTGCCTCAGCCTCCTGAGTAGCTGGGATTACAGCCCCCCACCATTTTTGTATTTTTAGTAGAGATGGGGTTTCTCCGTGTTGGTCAGGCTGGTCTTGAACTCCTGACCTCAAGCAGACCACCCACATCGGCCTCCCAAGGTGCTGGGATTATAGGCACGAGCCACTGCACCTGGCCCACTTTTGTTTCTTTACCTCATTTAAAATGTTAAAGGAAATTTGTTGTTTTAAGCCAATACGTTAACATATCATGGAGATACGAGGCTGAGTCAGGCAGACGGCCACATTCATCGTCTTAGTGAATGAGGGCACGCCCAGCCCCCTGGCCGCTCTCCAGGGGCGTCGGCACAGGGGTTCAGCCGGGCGCGGCCTTGGCGCTGCATGTGTGGCCTTGTGTGGAAGCTGGGGTTTTGGTTTCTATGCCCTACTGCCAGCCTCTCCTGCCCTTCATATGATGAACTGGAGAACTGCTAAGCCTCAGTCTGGGGCCAAGTCGAGCACGTGACAGAGAGTGCCTCAGTCCAGTGTCCCCGGACGACACCCTCCCACAGGAAGCACAGCACCCAGCCCACCTGCGTCTGCATCTCCCTAACCGGCCTGCACGGCTTGGTTGAGAAGTAAATGCATGCACAGCTCCGCCTCCATGGCATTCTGGGCAGAAATGCAGCCTGAGACGAGCAGTGAGAAACGGAACGCCCAGGCCGTGACAGCCTCCGCAGAGCAGCTGGCCTGGGCGCTTCAAAACATCAGTGTCGTGAGAGAAGGAAAAGCGAACCCAGGCAGGAAAACCATGCCTTGGGGGTGTGGGTGACGGCGGTGTGACAACAGGACTGTGGTCCCGTGGGACCTGTTCCTGTTGGGAGATACACGACAAAGCATCCAGCAGTAAACAGTCATGACTGTGAGAACTTCACAATGTGTGCAGACACACAGGTAGAACACATAAATGTGGAGAACATGAGCAGCTATTGAGTTCACCATTCACTGACTACTCTTTCAAAATTGTCAATAATTGCAATTTTTCACAGTAAGAAACTGGAGAAAAGAGCCAGGCATGGTGGCTCACGCCTGTAATCCCAGCCACTTGGGAGGCTGAGCAGGTAGATCACTTGAGGTCAGGAGTTTGAGACCAGCCTGACCAACATGGTGAAACCCGCCCCCTACTAAAAATATAAAAATTAGCCGGGTGTGGTGGTACACACCTGTAATCCCAGCTACTTGGGAGGTGGAGACATGAGAACGGCTTAAGCCCAGGAGGTGGAGGTTGCAGTGAGCCAAGATGGCGCCACTGCACTCCAGCCTGGGCGTCTCAAAAGAATATATAAATAAATTGGAGAAAACAAAACCCACACTGCCCACAGCCAGTTTGTTGGACAATCACACTGAACTCAACCTGCGCTCTCACCATTAAGAACGTGACGTGGGAAGGGTGGGCAGAGCAGCCTGCCTTCCGTGCGGGTCCTTGCGTCTGCTGCCGGCCACAGGCGCAGCACCCTGCACCACCCCACAGCCTGCACCCTGCTCCCAGCAGCCCGTCTGTCCCTCCACACTCTTCCTATGGGATTCCGTATATGTCACCAGCGCCATTTGTTGCTGTGAGTTAAGTTGTTCTTTCAAATGCCTCCCCCTCACTAGTCAGTTTTGAACCATCAACAGTGCTGACTAACCAACTGAAACTCGCAATGCCTTCAGCCATACGAACCCGCGTATTCAGTAATATTTTTCTATTACATCATAAAGCATACAGCACACCTATAAGGGTGGCCACCATAAAAAATGTACACACGTTGGCAAGGATGTGGAGAAAGAAACCTCATTCTTGCTGGTGGGGTGTAAAATGGTGCAGCTGCTATGAAATAAACAAGTTAAACGCAGACTTACTTTGTGATCCAGCTATCCCACTCTGGGTACATGCCCCAGAGAACTGAAAGCAGGAACCCGAAGAGATCTGTACGCCCGTCTTCACGGCAGCACGGTTCACCACAGCCGACGTGGAAGCAACCCAAGTGCCACCCACAGATGGAGCACATGCAGCCTGCCCACAGCACAGAACACATTCAGCCTTACAAAGGAAGGCGATTCTGCTGCAGGGGCCAGCGTGGATGAACTCTGAAGACACCATGCTGAGTACGACAGCACAGAGGGACGAATGCTCCATGATTCCTCTTACCTGAGGCCCTCGAGTAGTGATTCCAGTCCGCAGAGACAGACAGTACAGAGGCGGCTGCCTGGGGCTGGGGGAGGGGAGTGGGGAGTTAGCATCTCATAGGGCAGAGTTTCAGTTTGAGAAGACGAAATGCCCTGGACGTGGGTGCTGGTGACGGCCGCACGCCATGCGAACGTGCTTCATGCCACTGAACTGGACACTTAAAAATGGTTACAATGGTAAATGTTACACATATTTTAACATAAATTTTAAAGCATATTTTTAAGTGTATAGAAATGTCGCATGGTGGCTCACGCCTGTAATCCCAACATTTTAGGAGGCTAAGACGGGGGGATCACCTGAGGTCAGGAGTTTGAGACGAGCCTGGCCAACATGGTGAAACCCATCTGTACTAAAAGTACAAAAATTAGGCCAGGCACAGTGGCAGGCACCTGTAATCCCAGCACTTTGGGAGGCCAAGGTGGGATGGATCATCTGAGGTCAGGACTTCAACACTAGCCTGGTTAACGTGGTGAAACCCCGTTTCTACTAAAAATACAAAAAAAAAAAAAAATTAGCCCGGTGTGGTGGCAGGAACCTGTAGTCCCAGCTACTCGGGAGGCTGAGGCAGGAGAATTGCTTGAACCCGGGAGGCGGAGGTGGCGGTAAGCCGAGATTGCACCACTGTGCTACTGCCTGGGCAACAACAGCGAGAGTCCATTTCAAAAAAAAAAAAAAAGAAAGAAAAAGACATGTAATAACTGAGCTGCAGCTTCCAGTAACTTCCTTGTATTATGAAATTTAATATCATTGTTTTTTGCTACTCATCCCCTAAACTATGTTTAAAGAACAAAATCAAATCCCTGTAACCAGAAAATAATTAGAAAATGTACTTGTTTAAAAGCAGACAAAGAAGGGGGGGAAAAAGGAGAAACATCTAGGACAAAGAGGCCACAATCGTACAGAAGCAATGAAGCAATGACAAATGCAAATAGAAAAGCAAATGCAAATGAAAACCTTCCAGCAGAAAAGTTAACAGAATCAATGATCAGAGACAAACACTTTTTAATTTCAGTAACAGTAGGGAAAAATAACAGCATTCATGCATTAAAACTAAGAGCCTTCACACAGACGTCTCAAGACGTATTTTTAACAACAGAGGACAGGCTCTTGGGAGACCTCTGGGTTCTGCCACATAACATTGAGTCCCCAAATCCAAGTGAGGAAAGTCTGGGGATCTGCACTGTGGGGTCACTGGGAAGTACCTCAAGCGGCAGCGGCTGGGGTGCAAAGGCCGCAGGAGCCCTTGGCGGAAGCTGGTTTGCCGTCGCCACAGGAGTGCCAGGCTGCCTGTGAATTCTGGCCACAACTTTTACCTGAGAAGGACATTCAAAGGGAAGGGAGGAAGAAGGAAAGTAATGTGTAAACTTCGCACAGTTGATCACCACCTGCACATCCCACGCAGCGGGCAGCCTCGGCCGCCAACAGACGGTCACGGGACACTTGGCTCGCTGATGCAATTTAAGTCCTCACAGGGCTGGAAAGAACAAATTTGGCCCTGGGCACTGAAGCTTTAAGTCCACTTTAAACCTCAGTCTGTGGCCAGCAGGTAGCCGCGGTTGGGCTGCAGGGGTTGTGTCCACACAGCTACGTGCGGGAGCCCAGTGGCAGCTGTCAGAGGGAGGCCGGCCCTTCGGGCCGAGTCTGCTGATACCTGGGGAGACTATGGTGGAGGAGGGGGAAAAATGACAAAAACCACCCCCACTGAAAATGTAGCATTTCTTAAAAACACACTTTGATCTGATAAAACAGAAAGACAAGTTAAGCTGCAACTCTGTAATGACAGCCTTGTAGAGTAAGCAAAGCAAAGCAGCTTTCCAGAGACATGAACTGCTTCGCATCCAGGGCATTCAAATGGGAATACCCTTGGAATTAAATGAACTCAAAAGTCAAACGGCACTTCACAGCTTGAAATCACAGACAAAAATGCAAGAAAAAAGAAACTGGCTCTTATTCTGGCTGACAAGTCTGAAAAAAANAAAAAAAAAAAAAAAAGAAACAGGTTCTTCCGGCTAAATATGTCCAGAAGGCTAATTATATACAAGCACATAGCATCATAAAAAATCAAAACCAAATCTTAATATATCAGTACCCTGGAATAAACAATTTAAAAACAATTAAATAACATAGACAGTAAATCTTATGTTCTGTATATGTTACCACAACTAAATTTTTTGAAGAACTCAAATACCAGCCAGGCAAGGTGGCTCATGCCTGTAATCTCAGCACGTTGGGAGGCCGAGGCTGGCGGATCACGAGGTCAGGAGCTTGAGACCAGCCTGACCAACAAGGTGAAACCCTGTCTCTACTAAAAATACAAAAATTAGCCGGGCGTGGCAGGTGCATGTAGTCCCAGCTACTCGAGAGGCTGAAGCAGGAGAATTGCTTGAACCCGGAGGCGGAGGCTGCAGTGAGCTGAGATCACACCATTGCACCCCAGCCTGGTTTGACAATAGTGAAATTCCATCTCAAAAAAATAAAAAATAAATTAAAAAAACAATAAAGGGATATGGAAGCACCATTCTCTTGATCTCACACTTTCTGATATATTAACTACAAATACACGAAGGTGTCAACAGGAAGATTCTAGTATACTGAGAAGCAAAATTTTAAAGATACTAAAATATGAAAACAAGGCATCAACACATCAATGTCAGTTTACACTGACTTCTAAATATTTCTGAAAATTTCCTGAAAATTCGATGTAATGATTATCAAGGTTTCAAATGTATATAAACATAATTTGTTCAAAGGCTTAAAAAGTGTGTTTTTCACTTGCACCAATTCCTCAAGTAAAAACCCCACAGGCAAATTTACCTAATTTGTTGAAATAATTTGGATGAATTCAATACTGACTGGGCCCACAGAGTTCATAGCTCTAATGAAGTCTGATAACGGGATCATGTCAGCAAAGTGGAGCTAAAACACACAACGAGCAGCTGGAATGTGAACAACATTACACAGAGGAAAGCATTCACGGAAAACCACAATGTTAGTAAACTTCCAGTATTTTCCTATAAAATGATGATCAAACAAATTCCTAAGATGCTAGTCAGATTCTACAAAGACTTATTTCTATCATTTAGAAGTAAACTTTAACACAACAATTAACATACTCTTCATGTGACCATCAAAGCTATTAGGTTGCTTATCTTCAGTATTTCTTGTTTAAGGAGCTTTCTAAGCAGAGCTTCGGCAGACCCCACGAGACCGGCAGGCCGCGGCACGGCTCGTGGTGCCCTACGAAGATATTCTCCTCAACCTACGGATACTTACGGGCAAGCTTCCCGGTTTCCAAATACAGTACATGTTTAACTGGTTTCTAACTTTATTGCATTATAGGGAGAGGACAGTTCATATGAAATTGATTTTTTTTTTTGAGACAGAGTTTCACTCTTGTCACCCAGGCTAGAGTGCAATGGTACGATCTCGGCTCGCTGCAACCTCTGCCTCCTAGGTTCAAGCAATTTTCCTGCCTCGACCTCTTGAAGTAGCTGGGATTACAGGTGCCTGCCACCACACCCAGCTAATTTTTTTGTATTTTCAGTAGAGACGGGGTTTTACCATGTTGGCCAGGCTGCTCTCCAACTCCTGACCTCAGGCGATCCACCTGCCTCGGTCTCCCAAAGTGCTGGGATTACAGGCGGGAGCCACTGCACCTGGCTATAAAATTGATTTTTGAAATTTTATTGAGGTTTCCCTTTATAAATAGTCTCCATGTATACTCTAAAAAAAATTATCTCTTTGTTGAAAGTTTTTACACACATATACGCATACAGGTGTGTTATACAGTTAAACAGCCTCATTTATATTGTTAATTTGAGTAGTTCACATGTTCTACATACTTACAATTTATTTATTTACTTATTGTTTTCTGAGAAAAAAGCGAATATCTCCTCATGTGATTGTGGATTTAAGAACTGCTCCCTGGGAGGCCAAACTGAGTGGATCATGAGGTCAGGCATTTGAGACCAGCCTGGCCAACATAGTGAAACCCCATCTCTACTAAAAATACAATAACATTAGCCGGGCCCTGGCTTGCCTGTAGCTCCACCTATTAGAGAGGCTGAGGCATGAGAATCGCTTGAAGCCGGGAGGCGGAGGTTGCAGTGAGCTGAGATCACGCCACTGCACTCCAGCCCTGGTGACAGTGCAAGACTCCATCTCAAAAAAAAAAAAAAAAAGAAGAACTGCTCCCTTGAAATTCTATAAATAGGCCACACATGGCAGCTCATGCTTGTGATCCCAGCACTTTGGGAGGCCAAGGAGGGTGGATCACTTGAGGCCAGGAGTTAAGAGACAAGCCTGGCCAACACGGTGAAACCCCATCTCTACTAAAAATACAAAAACATTAGCCAGGCCTGGTGGCGCTTGCCGGTAGCCCCATCTACTAGAGAGGCTGAGGCATGAGAATTGCTTGAAGCCTGGAGGCGGAGGGTGCAGTGAGCTGAGATGGAACCATTGCCCTCTAGCCTGGGCGACAGAGCGAGATTTTGTCACAAAAAAATAAATAAATTCTATAAATTTTTGCTCTCTATATTCTAAGTCAGAGCTATAACTTGCTGAGAAACTCTGACATTGAGATGTGTGTTTAGGAAGCTTGGAACCCTGGCTTTGGGCCCAGCTAGCCTTGACTGCAGGCGGCTGGCAAGTGTGGACTGTGGGCGTTCTCACCTTGCCCGGCACAACCGTTTGGGAGCAGGCAAATGTGGTGGCATTCTAAAAAGGTGCCAGGACGCTGCTCCCATGAGCACCTGCCACAGAGGTGCCTGACTGAAACAGCACTGGAGAGAGGGGAGCTGCCGGGGGTTCAGCTGTGCGCTGGGATCCCCAGCACGACCGTCTGTAAATGTGGGGCCCCTGAGCACCTTAAAATCACTATCAAGATCACGGCCACAGTGTGTTTTAACAGTGAAGTGCCTAGAACGCATGCTCTAAGATGGTAAGGCCTGCACTGAGCCTGCAGGCAGCAGAAGCGCTGAGCGCTGCTTCCCATGACAAGTACCAAAACACAGAACTGTTACCTCGCCATCAATGACTTCGGAGTGCTCCTGCTCCTCCTCCTCCTCTTCTTCAATGTCCAAATCATTCTGCCTAAGATACGCTTGTAATGGGGCATAATGTTTCTTCTTGAAAGCTGAGAAATCCATCATATTCCCTTGAAAATGTTGCAAGAAAAACAGTTCAATCAAATACTCCTTGAAGACCTCCTTCAGAGCCTGCATCTCCTGGTAATGATAGTCCAGGCACTGCTTCCTCATCTGTGCCATCTCCGGAGAGGCTGGGGGAATCTCCTCTAACTTCTTGGGAGCCTTCTTCACTCCCGTGTTCCCCGCAGACGTGAGTGGCAGGCTGGAAAGGCCTGGGGGCACGGCAGTCCTGGAAGGGCTGGTGGGCGGGGGTGGGGAGGTCATCCCAAACCCCACTGCGCCCCCAGCCCCAGGCAGCAGTACGCTGGGCGTCCTCTCGAAGCCCAGGGATCGGGGCAGCGGCGGCCCCTGCGGCACCTGCTGCTGCTGGACCAGCTGGCCCTGGATGATGCTGCTGATCTGAGGTGGCAGGTTGGCCATGGTGATGTGGCTTGGGCTGGCCAGGGGCTGCAGGCCGGCCCCACCGGCAGCCGCAGGGCTCTGGGGTCCCAGGTGGTGGATGGTGCCCCCTGACTGTGTGTGGGGCTGGGAGAGTCTCCGCTCTCGGACCGTGATGGGTGTGCCCGCGTGCTGGAGCTGAACCTGGGCCCCCTGGGCGATCTGGGTGAGTCCTGACCCATCCTGAAACACAAAGTGTCCGCCACTGGATGGGCTCAAGCTGATCTGCCTCACCAGTACGCTGGCATCCACGAAGCCCCCGCTGGGGCTGCTGCTGCAGAGACCCAGCCCGGGGCCAGGGGCACCTGCACGCACATTCTGCAGGGCCTGCCCCGGCCCAGGGCTGGGCTGCGTGGGGCTCTGGGTCTGGACCTGCTGGGACAGGGGGGACGTGACCTGAATGTAGGACGGAGACCCGTGCTCAAACCGCCGAGGCTGAGTGCTGAACTGGAAGCCTGGAGAGGTGGGGTTGGGGAGCGGAGTGGGGCCAGTGTGACCTGTGGGTTTCCCTCGAGCCCAGGGCCCACGCCCTGCAGGGCGACATTCATGTTCTGCCCATCCACAGGGCCCCCCTCACCATCAGTGGCTGCAGATGGTAGCCGGGGGATGGCAGCGTGAGGGGTGGGGGCAGCTGGGAACAAGCTGGCGGCTCCTTGCCCACGCCGGGGCAGGCCCTGGGCCACTGGACGTGGCGTTGGCTGCTCTGGGAGCTGCTGACATGCTGCATGGCCACGTCTTCAGAAAGCGCTGCCTAAACAAATGCAGAAAGTTAGAGTTGAGTGAGGCGAGCTTCATGCCTGGGCGCCTTTCAGAGCCTGCACGCATGTCTGGAAATGCAGGCCCAGCAAACCCAGGCACCAAACTGCTACCCAGGGCAGGAAGGGCTCAGATCAGAGTATCTGCTCAGTCAGAGATGCTCGGGGATGCTTGTCATCACTTGTGATGAACTGAAGTACTAACACCTGCCTAATCCAGCCCTGCTGCGAGCGGCTGACAGTGCCGAGACTGGAGAGCATGGGACGGCGGGAGGGGAGAGCAGTGTGGCACAGCGGGATCACAGACAGAGGCAGATGGTGGCTCAGGGTCACCAAGGCCAGTTATCAACACCCCCTATCTGGTCTCATTTAGTTTTCACAGCAATGCTGCCAAGTCACTCTGACAGTTCATTGACACAGAGAGAAACTGAGGCAACGAGCAAGGGGCTGCCTGGCTCACACTACCAAGTGGTGGTGCCATTGTCCAGCTCCAGGCACACGGGCTCTGAGGCCCACGGGCGTCACTACAGGCCAACATTCCAGACAGGACCTGAGCCTGCCCCTGAATCTGAGACTTGGACACTATCCACCCCAGTGCTAAAACCTCATCAGTGCCACGGATTTGATCCTGCATGAAGATTGAACCGTTTATTGATGGTTTTCAGGATTCAATCTGTCCTGAAAGACTCAGTGCATACTGCCTGGTAGAAAAAGGCAAAGGGAATCCATTTGAGAAGTAGTCATTCCAGAGACAGGCTGGAAACGCAGGCACAGAGTGGACCTGACTCCAGGGCAGCGGGGAGGGGAGTCCAGCTCCCACCTGCCACGTGTTTTTTAATGAAGTACATGTATTATAAACAAATGTATTTTATGCATGGCTCAGACCTGATGTCTTTTCCATCATAACCACCATAGAAATTCAAGGCAAACATTCAAAAAGCTGCAAAGATACCAGCCACTACAGAAGCCACCTCTCCTAACGCCTGATGCTCAAGGACTCCGAAGACAGAGCCTACGTGAACAACGGTGCAAGTTCACGTCCAAGCACAAGTGTGGCGAGCCCAGCAAGCACGGGGCCACATCCGCCAGCAAAACCATTCATTATCAAGAGTGCTTGATGTGGCCAGACACCGTGGCTCACGCCTGTAATCCCAACACTCTGGGAGGCCAAGGCAGGCGGATCACAAGGTCAGGAATTCCAGACCAACCTGACCAACATGGTGAAACCCCGTCTCTACTAAATATACAAAAAAATTAGCCAGGCGTGGTAGCACACACCTGAAATCCCAGCTTCTCAGGAGACGGAGGCAGGAGAATCCCTTGAACTGGGAGGTGAGGATTGCAGTGAGCAGAGATCACGCCACTGCACTCCAGCCTGGCAACAGAGCAAGACTCCATCTCAAAAAAAAAGTGCTTGATAAATACACTGTTTATGTTCGATTTTAAACGGAAAATTCAAGATACAAAATTATATAATTTTAAAGATTTAATAAAAAGACTCAAAATGTGTCCACAGGTGGTGGTCTCTGGGTTAGGTGGATGATAATTATTTTTTCCCTTTTTATACTTTTTTGTACTTTCTAAATGTTCTATAATTACTATGTGGTATTTTTATATCCACAGGGAAAAAAAGCCATCTTTTTAAAAAGTGATTTTCTTTACTAGTAAACTCTTCTTCCAGGTATGCAAAGTTTGCACATGAGATGCGGGTAAAATCCCCCCAGAGGCACTGAGGAAGGAGAACTGTGCAGACCCCAGGCACAATTAGTGCCTGAAGTATAACTCACTGCTTACTTATATCTGGCTTATACATATAATCATACTTAATCCCATATAATCTTTCTATATAATCATATAACTCACTGCTTACTATGTCTAGTTTACATATATAATCATACTTAATCCCATATAATCTTTCTATATAATCATATAACTCACTGCTTACTGTATCTAGTTTACATATACAATCATACTTAGTCCCATATAATCTTTCTATATAATCATATAACTCACTGCTTACTATATCTAGCTTACATATATAATCATACTTAGTCCCATATAATCTTTCTATATAATCATATAACTCACTGCTTACTGTATCTAGCTTACATATACAATCATACTTAGTCCCATATAATCTTTCTATATAATCATATAACGGATGTAGTTGGAGCTGTACCAACACATTCAGTGCTCATTTATACAATCCTTCCACAGAACCACATAATAGTCTGTAGTAGGAGGAATGCCTAGAGCAGTCACAGAACAGAAGCAGCACATGGGAAAACAGCCAGACCAGGACGAGAACCAAAGACCCAGGCGGTGGCGTCCCTGCCTGAAAGGGCAAACGCCGTATGGCAGGCTTGGAGCAAGAGCCTCTCCTCCTGATAGAGGAGCTGTAGCACCTCGCATCCAGTTCCTGTAGAAAGTCGGCCTCAGGCCTGAGATCCCGCAAATAACCGAGGGAGAAGAACCCCTCTGGTGTGACCAGTCACAGCGGCTGTACACCCTGTCAGTCTTTTCTCCCTTCTGTGCTGGCTCAAATCACCCTCCCATAAATATCTTAAGAGAACAGCACAAGTCTGTCAGCTCTCACCACATTGGCTTACAGTATCCTTCTGTTAGAGATCCTTTGAAGTCTCCAGCCCTCAGATAAGAAGTGTTGCGCACGACACCTGCTGCACACAGCCCACCTCCTTGCCTCGGTGACCTAATGGGGGTGGACCCCTTTTCTGTAGACGGCCCCCTACTGTGTATGGCCCCCCTCTCTGCCCAGGTGACATAATGGGGTGGCCCCCTGGCTTGTGACTCACGGGATTATTATGCCCTATCACTAAGCCTATAGATGATGACCTCACTTTCGACCCTTCTCCCTGCTTGTACCTAATAAATGCAGACGCTTCTGTGCATTTGGGGCCTCGCCTGTCCCTGCTCCTAAGTGGCGTGGTCCCCCGAGTCCAGCTGCTCTTCTCCAGTTCTTCAGTGCCCTGTCTCTTTACTTCTCAGATCCTGCACCTCAGCACAGCATAAGGGACACCCTGCAACCCTGTAGGCCAACAGCCCTACAAGAGGGACTGTACTCAGGTAAAATAATAATTAGAGGATGCGCAGAGGACACAAGGCAACGATTTATTTGTACCTGTTTCTAACTCAGAGCACCTTTCCTACGGAAATGCAATGACGCTAGTCTCTTTCTAAGACAGATCAGTGGCTCTCTACTCGGGAAGACTGTGTCCCCGGCAGACACCAGGCAACGTCTGGAGGCATTTTTGGTTGTTACACTGAGAAGGGTGGGAGCACGGCTAGCATCTAGTGGGTAGAGGCCTGGGGGCCACTAAGCCAAAAAAACAACTGTTAATCAATAATTCTATACTCACCTAAGACAACTTTCAAAAACAAAGACAAAAGACGAAAAACACCAAGGTACGGTGGCTCATGCCTGTAATCCCAGCATTTGCAAGGCCAAAGCAGGCGGATCACTTGAGGTCAGGAGTTCGAGACCAGCCTGGCCAACATGGCAGAAGCCCCTCTCTACTGAAAATACAAAAATTAGCCGAGCGTGGTGGCACACGCTATAATCCCAGCTACTCGGGAGGTTGAGGCAGGAGAATTGCTCAAACCCCTGGGAGGTAGAGGTTGCAGTGAGCTGAGATCAGGCCTCTGTACTCCAGCCTGAGTGAGACTCCATCTCAAAAA